CATACAGGTGTGTGTGTATGTGTATGTATTACTTACTCATATTTATGCATATCGAAAGCCTTTACGCATCAGCAATTCAAGTAAAAGGCTTTTAAAGTAATACGCTCAAAACTAAAGCAAATATATAATACATATATATATTTACTTATATATATTGTCCCGACACAAATATATATATCATGTTCATATGTTTTTATACATTCGACAGAACTTTAAATAATATATTGAAGTTTATAAGCTACTAAAAGCATTTAAAGTAGGCAGTAAGTCTTCTCTTTCAGAAAGTGATAAAAACATTCAGATGTATAATTTGCTAAAGCGCAATTCTCTAATATTTTAAATATAAATTCTCTAATATTAACAATTTCTTTTTATTCTGTGATTAAGGAGCGTGATGTCTAATAAATCTAACAAATTACAAAATCATTGTATTTATTACATGGATCTGCACAGTAAATCTGAAATTATCGATTATTATCGATACATAGAAAATCTGATGAGCTATCGAAAAATTGTGATAAAATATGGGAGAACATTTCAAGTCTTTGGCATTTGTTTTTACATCATCTCTGGGTCCTTACGGATAGACGGACGGACAGACGTATAAGGTTGGATCAACTCAGCTCTTTACACGGATCAAGAATATATGTATTCGCTTAATGGTGTCAGCCACGCCTTCTTTAGTCGGTTACATGCATTTTAAGAAATCATTATACCCTCGATATCCGGTTTTAAAAGGTTCAGGATATAAAAAAAAAAAAACATTTTGGAGACAATATTATGTGTGAATTCCTTCCCCCATTTACTATATTTTGTCGATTCGAAACACATTAGCCAGAATTGCTATAGCTAGAATTAGTCGAAAAGTATTTAGTAACCAAGTAACCGAATTTAATGCTCAACCATATCATATATCAAATACCCCAAGAGTTAAAAAAACTAAACTAAACTAAAGTGYTATAAAACTTAATAAATTTTAAGACACTTTAGAGCATTTCTAGCGCACACACACCTTATGGCTGGTCATGGTTTATTCTAATATAAAAGTTATGTAAGTATAAATGAGGTTTTTTGGGGGGTATTTTTTTGGGGCTGCCAACTGTAGCCTGAGGCCAACGTTTGTTCGTTTGGTTTCAGTGCGAAAACATAAACAACCGAAAAATAGTTGCCAGACTTTGTAAGAGTTTCCAAAATAGACAATGGCCACTTCTGCAAAGCAACAACGCCCACAACAACTACCGCAACAGCTACCCCAACAGTAACAACAACAACAACATATATCAACAAAATATTGCAACATTTTCAAGGCAGGCAACAAAACGGAAACAAAGCCGAAAAATTGCCTCACAGTCGACAAACACACACAAAGAGAAGTCACTCGGCCAAAACGTGCAAAAACTATTTTCAAACTCTTGCAACTCTTGCAAAAAAAAAACAATAACACCAACAGCAACAACAACAACAACAAACAGTAAGACGCCGTAGCCAGTTGTTTGGCGACGCGGCTGCCAAAAGTATTTGCAAAGTGCGAGCCCAGCAAAAGTCAAGGGCAGCCAAAGGGCCAGAAGCCTCCATAGCCTCCTTCATCTGGCCCTCCCTCTCTCCCTCCTGTCTCCTCCCCACCCAAATTTGTGTGTGTTAGCGAGTGAGAAAAAAACCAATCAATAAATGCGAAAAATTGCCCCGACACCAACAACAAAAATATGTGGAAAAAAAAACATAGCAGTCGGGCGTTACTGACTGCAGAATACACACTCATGCTGCCAGATTTCGATTTGCGGATGTGTACAGTAATACAGTCACTATAAAATTATTTTCTAGCTGTATAAAATACAGTTTTTCCCGCCCCCATTGGGCGCAGATATATCTGGCATATCTGAATGATCTTATGGATTACAGTCCGTGTATAGATTCCAAATTTCATGTCTCTAGTTTCAGTAGCAGTCAAACTGCTTTGCATTCATATGGCCAGATGGACAGACTGCAAGACGAACATTGCACAAAACCAATATACTCAATTCACTTTCGTTAATGAGTATAAAAAAAAAAAAATACAGCAACACACATAACAAATTTAAAAAGCCCTAAAAAAAAAAAAACACAGCTGCAGCAGCTACAACAACAAAAACAACAAAAAAAAAAAAAAAACCACAGCCAAGAGCAAAAGAAAAGCTGCGTGAAAATTTTGCTTCAGCTAAAAAAGAAAAAAATATAGAGGAAAATGAATTCAAATCAAAAGCAGGCGAATATTTTGTGCTCTGAATATTCTATGTTGTCATATTAAAAAAAAAAAAATTAAATTACTATTCAACTATATTTTTTCATTAATAATCGTTTTGGAAAATAAAAAAAAAATTATTTAACATTTTTTAATTCCTTTTTACTAATATATTATTCTTTAGTTATTATTAAAAAATTATGTTTTGTTTT